CTGGAACCTGCTTTGTATTTACAGATTGAGGTCGCTGCATCATTATAACCGGTTCCCTAATTGAGGGCTGAAAGTTCTTAAAATCACTTCCAACAGTCAAATAACGGCTTTCAGTCTTTGCTGGTGGAGGTGAGGCCTGCAAAGGTGATGCCAAAGAATAAGAAACAGAAGGATTTGATCCAGAGCTAGGCCACCTTTTCTCAGCTGGCACTGCACTTTGTTGGGGTTTTGCCCACTCTAACTTTGGCTGTATTCTCTTCAAAGGCTGGAAACTTTTACTCACAGATTCTGAAGAACCTCCCACTGTAACTGCTGCTTTTGTATAGTTAAAATCCTTCTCATCCCTTCTTTCCAGTGTTGCAGGAGATAGATTTGGTACTGGTTGTGGCCTTACTAATAAGTTTTGACTAGCTGAAACTGATACCTTATTGGAACAAACAGTCAGGGGATCACAAGTTTCTTCTGGCATTGTTGGAGCAGGTGGGTCCTGCTTCAAAGTTCTTAAACCTTCCGCTGCTTTCTCAAGATCACCTTCAGCAGCAACAACTGCTCTTTCAACCTCCTGCTTTGTACAGTTGTATCTAATTTCCATATCAGCAATCCGTGCTAGCTCTTCCGATATGTCAATTTTCAAGTTCCTACCACCAATAGTTGATTCCTTATGCTTAACTGCTTCTTCACCTCCTTCAAAAAGCCATGCCACAGATTCCTCCACTTTGCCTTCATTCATTATAAGAGCCATTGTTGCTCGATCTTGTGAAAATCCCATTGCTACAAGCTGCTGAGCAAGTGCTTCAAGCTTTCTTGACATGAGATAGCCGCTGCACCGCTCATGCAACTCCTGAGCTCGCCTCTCCTTCTGACGCTGATGTTTCCTCTCATTCTTTTGGCGAATTTTTTCTCGCTTATCATTGTCAGCTCCTGGTATTACTTCCTGCCGGACTGTAGGATTAGATGTTTTCTCTTTGTGATCTTCCGACTCGCCAGACCAGCTACCATTATTAGATACAGAATCATACTCAACCCCAGTTCCAAGCGAGCCACCCAAATGCTCATCTGTCTCATCTATGTTTTGGAAACGGCCATTGCTTTGAAGGGGTGAAGAGGAGGTTGATGGCACTGTTTCAATGGTATGGAATGTTCCCAAAAGTGGATTATATGCACTAGCCGGAACACCACCACTAGTATTAGCAGGTCCTGAAGGCTTTGAAGAAGCCTTCTGAGAGTCCTTGCTAGCCTTTTTATCCTTCGACTTAGACTTCGAAGCAGGAGACATAGTTGTGGCCAAATATAGTCCTGAAATGTTTAAGACTCAAGCAATCAATGCTCAGCAATAGCAAGAACAATGGTCATTTCTCTTTTTTTTTTTTCCCTAGCATGTCACTCAAACAGACCTAAAGTGAAGAAAGCCAATAGCAATGAAAAGAAGAAACAAAATAAGAGCTTACTTCTCACAAGTGACAATATGCTTATGAAATACACAAAACTAGATATTTTTTACAATAAAAAATATGTGTGGTAATCCAAAAGGCTCCAACTAATACATTGCTTCAAGGATGCTATTCTGGTGTGACCAAAAAAAAAAAAAAATTGTGTATAGACCTCAAGTATATAACTGGTATCCAGTTAAAGAAAGCATATCAAAATAAAACCTGAGAACTGTAAATATGTTTCCTACTCAATGTGCAAAGTGATATTTCCCAATAACAACATTAGAAGTTCACAAATAACAGCAAGGATGTTTTATTTTTATCATATGCCAGTTCCCTAATTCATTATCTAGCGGATGTTCCCCCATAAAAAACAATAAGATCCATTATATGAAGAAGAATTTTAAAAGGGAAGACCAGAAAATAATAAAAGATACATAATAATCAAAGAATTAATGCAAGTGCACCATATTAACAGAGTATCAAAATCCCAAGACAATCTTCCGTACAACAATCCTTCCTAGAACATGAGAATAATTACATTTTTATAATCCATCAAAGAAAGATATAAAGAATGAAATAACAATTACAATTTGCAAAGATTTTTCAGAGGCCCTTCCAAACATGGTTCTTCTTACGGATATGTTCTGATAATAGCTGCAAGATATTAAAGTTAGTTATTGCTCTCATCAAAAATCAAAGTTCCAGCTACATACCAAGAATTTGCAACTTAAACATTTATGTGCTTAAATGAAAGTTTTATATCCTTGGTCTTCAATTAAGAAATGTTAAAATTCATTGTTTTGGCATAATGTTAATCCCCATTTAAAAAATTAATTAATTGATTCTCAAGTTCCTTCCGCCACACTTAAAGGTTACAGTTAGTGCCTACCTCTCACATCTCAGGCCAATACATGATCCAGAAACATAAAATAAATTAAACTTTCTGTTTATCTAATTCAAGAAGTTGAGGCTTCATTCTTTCCATTGAGAATCACGGAAAATAGTGTCATTATAAGGCTTCGTTACCATGCTTGAAAGTTCCAGTTAAAACCTAGCCCACCAAATTCAGATATTACATTCTTGGGTTTACAATAGAATGAAAAAGTTCCAGATATTTGTTCATTTTGCATTAGGACTCCCCATTCAGACACAGTTGTAGAAAGGGGTACCATTTTGAAGCCATGATTGATGCCGTAAAAATTTTTATAGTTAACATACAAGAAACAGGGGAACAAAGCTGTGGCACGCAAATGTGGCTTCGTTGGAGGCTCTTTTTCTTCCCCCCATCCCCCTATTTTATATTCTACAAAAAAAACACAAATAAATTTGATCCCCAATCATATTCAATTTGATCCTGTCATCCTCACTGACTATTTTCGAGAAAAATAATTAAATCCTAACACAAAAAAGTGCTTCTTCTCTAGTTTCTCCAAACAAAGTTTCCTGAGTTTCTCATTTTCGAGATGACTTAAAGCAGATAACAGAATTGCAGCCATATGAATCAATTAGCATTACAAAGTCTGCTCAATTGTGAATTCTTTAATTAAAAAAAGAGAAATATGCTAAGGAGAAGTCAAATTTCAAGCAATCAACAAGGAATTAATAGATTAGATTTCAGAATTCTGATCACAAAGAATCCTATTTCGACGCAGCCAAATTCACAAGAGACTATAACAGACACCTCCGACTTTTAAAAAAAAATATATTTCTAACAAACCCAAAATTTGGCTTTCCATTTTCCCCAAACAATAATGCATGCTAGACATCATATTCCAACTGGGTTTTTTTTTCCCCTTATTCTAAGAACAAGATTTAAACGAACCAATTCGATCGGGAAATCCCCAAAACAATCCTAAAAGGGAAAAAATTCACGATTCTTTCAACAGAGCAATGCAGATTCAATGGAAATTAAAAAAAAAAAAAAAGATTGTAGGATTCCCCCACATGGTCAATCAAACAAAATTTCCAACATAAAAATAATGAATTCCAAAAGAGTTTTAAAAGGAAAAGGAAATGAAAAGAAGAAATCAAAGAAGGAAATGAGGAAAATGGAGATACCTGGGTTGAACGGAAGGGAAAGATGGATGGGACGATCGAGATTGAAGGATCAATGGTTGAGAGAGTTGGATGCGAAGAGACAAAAGTGAGAGAGAAAGACAGATAGGTATTTCGAGGCCCAAACTGAATCGATAGAATTAGGGTTTTGTTTTGTGCTTTTTACAACAGAAAAAGAGATATATGAGATTTCATAATGACCAAAATTCACTCGTTTATAACGGAACCTGTTTATACTTGCCCTTCTCCCCCTCTTTTTCGTTCCTTTTTTATTATTATTATTATTATTAGTAACAATTTTATTTTTTGTTAGAAAAAGAACCAGATGAATAAATGCATATTTAATTTAAGTCAAATTATGAGATTGATACGTGTACGCATTTAAAATTAAATTTTAATTCATGTACAATAATATAAATTTTTTTTGAAAATATAATATAAATATATTTAGTTCTTATATTTTCGGATATAAAATATCAATCCAAATATTAGCTCTATTATATTTTTACTATTAAAATTAAAATAAAATAAAAATAATTTTTATTAATTTAAATAATATTCAGAGTCTGATCAAACTTAAAAGCCTAACAGTTCACAAAACCTATGAACAAGTTTATCAACGACATGAAAACCACTTCTTTTAATGGTTAGAATTTGAAAATTTTAATTTAAAAATTTTGAAGTTTGAATCTTAGAGAGAAGGAAGAGATCGTAAAGTTAGACTCTCTTTAATTGTATTTAGTTGGTTTAATTTTTCTCCCTATGATTCCTTTGATTTTATGTGAAATTTTTTTAAAAAAAAAAAAGGAAGAAGGTTGTAGTTTCTTATTAAAGGCATTCACGAGGCAAGCTCTAAGATTGATTTTTTAGCTTAAGCCCAATATATTTAAGTAATAATAAATAATTATATTCATTTAATTTTAAAACATTAATATATATTTTAAATATTTAAATAAATAAATTGAATTGGATTAAAATTGATCTTTAGAAATATCAATCGGATTCGTTTCGACTAATACTTTTAGGCTTAAGGGGATGTTTTTCATTTTTTTTGTTTTCGATTGAAGATATTAGTACGTTGAATTAAATTGTTGGGTCTTGAAAATCGAAAATAGGTTAAATAAATAAAAGGAAGATGCGTATTACTTCATCTTCTTTATCTATTCTTGAAGGTCCTTAAGACAAAACATACATGGTAAATTTGTTGAATCAACATTGACACCTTATCTCAAACATTTAACTTTTGACTCTTTAATGCTAGGTAAAAAATTTTAGCATATATTTTTGGGTGATGTGAACATGTGATGAAGAAGTTTCACTTGTGTTAGATCGATGTAAAACACAAGAGGAAGAGCTCCTAGGCTGAATTCAAGAGATGTTCGAGATGAAGAGGATTGTAGGGCAATCATACAATCAGTGGTCAAGATGATAGAGTAACTCAAGCAATAGGCTGAATTCAAGCCCGTATGAAATTGGCTTTGGACATCCAGAAAGGTAGTCATGAAGATTAACTTTCCAAAGAGGGGAACTCTCCACCATGGAGATTAACTTAAAAAGTTCAGACAGTGGGATCATATTAAATTCAGTATCCCCTACAGAAATTACAGAAGAAATAATTAAGAGGCAAAATGAAAAAAAACACTAGTAAATTACACAACTTTACATCAATTTATTTTGTTCTAGACAAGCTTAACACCACTGAATTTAGTACAAACTTAGTTACATTTATATAAGGCATAGTTGCATTTATTTAAAGGCCGGACACGCCTCTGGTATCCTGATATCCTTTCATCTCCCATCTCCATTCACCTGAATGTAAACAAAGACAATAGTATTACTAACAAAACTAGAGCACCAGGCCTGTACACCAGATTTCCCAAGTGTAGAAGGAAAAAAGAGAAGCAAGAATTGAGGAGATTTTGTATGAAAGAAAGAAGTAACTAGACCTAACAATTTTAGACTATTTTAGACAAGAAAAAATTAAAGTATGACATGACACTACAACAATAAAAAAAAAAAAAGTAACATAATTTAAAATTTTGACAAAAATTATATATGAAATTGATAAAAACTCAAAAAATATATTTCATGTTTAACATGTCAATATAAATTATGACAAGATAATTTTTGTGTTTTTAATGTGTTTGACATGAGATAGGATACACCAATTGCTAGGACTAGAAGTAACAGAACAGGACTACTAGCGGCTACAGTCTTGATAGTGACAGCTACCACAAATTTCCCCAAAGAGAGAGCCCGAAAATTAGATTTTAGGATTTTTAAGTTTGAGCACTTTGGTACTTCGGTTCAAATCTTTAGGTGATAATAGTGTTTATGAGGTGAAGAGCTACTCTAACAGTAAAAGGGCCAGGGACAATTAGTCTCTAATGTTACGTAAAGTTCAGACAATTATAATACGGGAATAATTTAAAACATTAAATGATCCACCTTCATTGGATCAGGACAAGATTGCAGAAGAACTTCTACATAAGATTATATATTCCTTTCTAAATAGTTCAGTTTAGTTTCAAAATAACACAATCAAAATCATGTATTATGCACATGATTATGAAAAGATTACAAATTTTCATATTCCTAAGACACAGAGATAATTATTTATGCCGTTGCTATACCTCAATTTCACTAATTTCCTAAACATCCCTCTTCAGGATATCTACTATCAAGATTGGCCATTCCTTTTATTTGTCTATTTGTTAGTCAACAGAATAATGAACCCTTCAGTTCACTTATTTTCCAACCTTTTAGCTTCCTTTCTATTCTCCAAACTGTTATGTAGTAGAATTCACTTGGATGCGTGGTGGAAGAACTCCCACTAAGCGGTGCACGTCATTTTATTCACTGGACCCTTAGAGGTTCAGTCATAAAATGCAGCTACAGCACAGTGGGAGTCCCTCTCACCATGCAACCAAGGACGCAACCAAAGGGACCCTTATTCTACCCAAACCCCACTTAACCATATTCATCCTTCCTTCACTCTCCTGGTGTTATTGTTCATCCTTCCAGTCCTCACTCCTTACATACTTATGCACTATCCAAACCCCCTAAGCCTCCATTACTGGTGCCCCCAAAATCTCAATCCTATATTATCCATTATTATTGTCAACACAATGCCACCCCTATCAGATAAACATAGAATTGAAGGATAGACTTTCCGTTGACAAGAACAAACATTGAAAAAATGATCCTAAAAATAAACATTCAATCTCCTTTCCTTGGTTTATACTCTTAGAAAAGTAGTTAGATCACAAGCGAACATCAAATGAAGCCACAGCAAGCACATGCAACCACACTGACACAAAGGAAGAATGAGAAAGGTTAAATCAAATGAATTCCAATAAAAACTTGGCAACTCAGGTCTCCATCTACTAGTTAAAACCCAATTTTGGTGAACCAAGATTAACCAAAAATCAATTAATGAGAAAGGTTAAATCAAATGAATTCCAATAAAAACTTGGCAACTCAGGTCTCATCTACTAGTTAAAACCCAATTTTGGTGAACCAAGATTAACCAAAAATCAATTTGCTTTCCAACCATTGTTACTTTGTGGGTGGATGTATGACTTGATTGTACATCTTCAATTATTCAATCACCCACAGCCATGAACAAATGAGACTTCGTAATTGCATACAATTTTGGTGGACAAAGAAAAAATAACCCATACTTTTTTTTTTATATCTTTTAAGAGTATGAAATGGGTTAGGCTTACCCTAAGCGGAGGTAGTGCAAACGGCAGGGGCGTCGCCAATAAGCTTGAAATCCTGCAACTCCTTGAAATTCATCCAAGCCTTCTCCCACACCTTGGCTTCATAAATTTTCAGCTTGCCACCATCCATTGCCTCCAATGTAATGTAGTATATCATCCCAGCAACCACCTGCTGCTTTGCTTTCACCACTTTCTTAAACTCCAGCATCGCATTCTACATTTTTAACCCAAAAAAAAAAAAAAAACACAGTAATTGACAATAATTTTAATCGAATTGAGATGTAAAATTGTAATTAAAAAGGAAAAAAAAAAAAAACCTCCTTCTTGTTGTGTTCGTCAACAGCAAAACGAGCGAGGTTTTCAACCTCCAGACTATTGGCGGCTCCTGGAACATCACTAATTCCACCCGTTTTTGGCATTTCTCCCTCCATTTTTTTTCTTCCGATGATGTGATTTTTTTTGTATCTGTAATTCAGATTTCTAAATGTTTGTGTTTTTATAGAAAATCAAAGGTAGGAAATGACAAAAATAAGAATTTTAGAATTCATAAATTCTAATTGGTGGAAATAGACGCGTAATCAATCAGTAATCACTTTTTCCACGCGTTTAAAAATCATTGGTCAACTCTTTTTGCATGTTTTGGTCGTTTGCGTCTGTTGCATAGCTTCCAATCAGCATTTTCTCTTATTATGTGGGGTTATTGGATTGGGGGAATGAAAGGGCGTAGCGAAAATATGTTGGAATTTAAAGCAGGGTAGCCAAACTCAAGGATCTTCCTTAACGCGTAACATTTTTCAGAGTCAAAATCTAGAACTGGAAGAAATACGCATATCTAAAAGATGCTATCTATTGAGCAGTGGCCCATGGATCTCCCATAGATTAAGAGTCGTGATGGCTTTTGATTTGGATCGTTAAGACGTTGAAATTGGGCACGTCAAATTTGGTTAGTCCATTTCGAACCTGGGTTAATTTTCTGATTCGTCGCATTTTAAGATTATATATGTTAGACCGTTTTCAATTCAAACTATTGCGTATTTCCTTCGCGTCGGGCTAAATATATATAAGACTGGCTTTTTTTAACCCGTTACAATGTAAGGAATTTTTATTAAATTTTTCATAATTTTAAATTTATTTTTTAATTATTTATTTAATATATAATCATATATTTATAAATATTAAATTACAATTAAATGATAATTTATACATAACATATTATAAATGATATTATTCATCTAAAAAAAGTCTCAACTTATGTAATTTTCAAGAATTATAAAATTTTTAATCAAAAATATTTTTTCAATTTATTTGTTAAATATAGAAAATTTTGTTATCTCTTTTTACTTGTTTGATAAAAAATCAAGAATCAATATTTAAATAATTAAAATTAATAATTATTTTTATCATAATGTTAATTAGGTAGTGTATATATATATATATATATATTTGATCGAGCAACAAATCACAATTATTAATTTTGTTATAATCATTTGTTTTTTTATTAATTCTTATTTTGATACAAATATATTGGGCTAACAATTATTTTTATATATGTTAACAAAATAAAATTATTTTTTAGATAAAAGGAAAATAATAATTCTTTATGTTATGCTTTAAATTTTTTTTTAATATTTTTTTTTAATCATTTTTAACATAATTGATAGTATTTTTTATGAGTTAAATATGGTAGCGATCATCATTCTTCTCATATCATTTATTATAAACAAAGAAATTTAATAATAAAAAATATAGCTAAAGAAAATAGAGAATGCAAATTTACATATTAATTTGTCAAGATTAAATATATACAATAATAAAATTAAATATGTTAACAAATTAACAGAAAATAAAAACATTAAAGAAATGAATAAAACAAAAAAATATATAATACAAAATGTTAATTATAATCAATCTAAGTAAAATAAAAAAAAATTATGAACTAAAGAGAAACAAATAAATTAACCAAATATATAATATAAAAATATTTGAATTAGAGCATAAATAAAACATTATATTTGTTTTCAAAGTAAAAGCATATTTTTATCTAACTGTTTTAATTAACATTCAAATGTTTCATATTTCCATATAAAAATATAAGCTTTTATTACTTTAAAAATACATACTTTCTAGTCAATAATTTTGTTAACTTATCTAAAAGTATTAAATTTAAATAATCTATTAAATAATTTTTAATTTTTGATAGATTTTGATTTGAATTTAAATAATTATCTAAAAATATCAAATTTAAATAATTTATTAAATAGAATTATTTGACAGAAAATAAAATTTTATTAAGTATATATATTTGGAACAACCATTAAATTTAAAAAGAAAAGATAAATTATGATTTAATATATTTGAATTCAAATCTTATGCAAAAATTTTAATTTTAGGTAGATATTGATTTCAATTTAAATAATTATCTAAAATATTTAATTTAAATAATTTATTAAAAATTTTATTTGATAAATAAAATAATATAAATATTATCTCATGTGTCATTAAAAGAGATTATCCGCCTAGACATTTACATAAGTAATTTTGATTATATAACTTTGTATGTTGTAATATTATATATATATATATATATTAGATTGAAATTTTAATTTATATTAATTTTTTATTATATATAGATAAATAAAAATAATCATAATCATTTATAATTTGTAGTTTAAAATTAAAAAATTGTCTATGTATAAATTATTATGAAAAAATCTAAATAAGCATTATGAAAGTAAAATTATATACAAATATCAATGAGATAATTAATCCCTTATTCACAATTATATAAATTTTTAAAAGAATATATTATTTTAGTATAAAAACTAGGATTTACACATATGATATATCACGAAAGATTTTTTCATATTTAATTTTGAAATTTTATCTTGTCAAACTTTTATGACGAAAAGAAAAAAATATTGGTTGTGAGAAGAAATCATAAATATATATTTAATAATTATTTAATTTAAAAAATCTATTTTTAAAAATTTAGTTTATCTAAGTTTAATTTTAAATTAAGATAAAAGAAGTTAGTATAATTTTAAATTTAGATGTGTGTAATTTTAAATTAAGATAAAATATTCTTCTTTTTTATTTTAAATTATAAAAAAAATAAAGACAAAAAATTGGTAAATAATAGTAGTTCAACCATAAGTTTTATTTATTTAAATTTATATGAATATTAATTTAGAGGGTGTATAATTTTTTATGATTCCTAAGATTTAGGAATTTAACTTTTAAAAACTATTTGAATTAGATAAGAGTTAAATATGAGAAAATATATTTTATTATATTTAAATTAAGATAAATCTTATACATTTGGAAAGATTTTGATAAATGTAAATTTTGAAACTTTAAGATTTTTAAAAATTAAATAATTAATTTAATAAAGTTATTTGAAAATATTTTACTTGTCAATAATATAGGTTATCTACCTAAGCATCCACATAAGCAAATCTTATCAAATTTTTATGTATGTTATAATATAATATTATATATGATGTTAGATGCAAATTTAATTTTACATATATCATTAAAATATCAAATACAAAAAGATTGTCGAATTTTTGAAGTTTATTATAATGATAATAAAAAAATAACTCTAATGAATACGTTTGTATACAAACAAAATTTACACAAAAAATGTTTCATTAGCTTTATAATCATTTGTCAAAATAACAAAATGTTTTAAGTAAAAGTAGAATTTGATGAGAGATAACTGTTAATACAGCTTTAATCAGAAAGTTAGTTTATATTTGGTGTAGCATTTTTTTTTTCCATTGCATAAAATCAAATCAAATTTGCATTATGACAAAAAAAAAAAAGATTAAAATTTGATGTAACATGCGTGTATATAGTTTTTTTTTGCCAAGCATGTTTGTATATTGTTAATTATACTTGAGTTTCATTTTTTTTTTTTTTTGTAGTGGATTTTTGTGGGAACAATTATTACCAATCTGTGTATTAATGGGATGGAAGTTGGTCTGGTTTCGCGTTGGCAGTTGCAACAATTGATTTTTCCATTAATTTTGGTTTTGATGGGCCAATGAAAGTTGCAGGGATGAACAATCTGTGTGTTAATGGAATGGAAGTTGGGTCTGGTTGGGTGTTGGCAGTTGCAACAACTGATTTTTCCATTAATTTTGGTTTTGATGGGCCAATGAAAGTTGCAGGGATGAAGTAGATGATTTAGCCAGCTAATTTCTTTTTTGATATGCTTAGGTATTCACAATCAAATGATAATTTTTGCTTTAATTGTTTGTGAAGCTAGGATTAAAAATGTAAATAAAATAAACGTACTCATGAATTATTTGAAATCGATTTAAAAAAATTTAAATAAATTTCGAATTGAGTCAAACAATTTAAGTTACGAATAAGTCAAATTAAAGTATTTTGTGATTCGTAAGCTTAATCATAATTTTTATTTTAAATATTTTATTATTAATTTATTTTTTTACCTTTAATATATATACACATTTAAAAATCCTAAATTTCTAATTTTTTAACACATCACGCGTGACACATTTGCTTCTTCCCTCTTCCTATCTCAGCGGCACTCCCGACATCACTCTCTCCATCCCATCCCAACACCAATTGCCACCGCTTCCTACCTTTTGTCTTCATCAACAAAATTTTCGGACTTTCTTGTCGATTGTCTTCTGCCAATCATTAGTCCCAACAATGACATCCTTTTGCCACTACATTAGAGAAGTTTTATGGAACTCAAGCAGTAGTGAAGCTCTCTCAAATCAAAAGGCAGGTTCATGACGTCAATGAAAAGAATGAAACCGGACATAACATTTATAATTTTCTGTTCGTTCATCAAAACTAAATATGAACAGTTAATTATTTGATCATTGTTTATGACACTTATATTTAAGTGTTTATTATTCAAAACTAATTATGTACACCATTTATAAGTACTTTGCTAAATCTAACTAATATGATCATTTTTATAATTAAAAAATAAAAACTATTTAAGATTCAAAATTGTGAGTAGAGTTGGCATCGGGGTGAGGCGGGTCAGATTTTTGCTTTCCCCGACCCGAAGCCTTAGTGCTTTTACCCGATACCCGACCCGTTCTTGTTCGGAGGTTTTAATGGAAAAACTCGACCCCGACTTGTTACAAATATTATTTATCAGAATAAAACCCGACCCGAATTCAATTTATTACCAATTTAAATTTTCACATGAAACAACATTTGTAACAAACAAACACATTTAGACCATGGAGCATAATTTAATGTGGATTTACAGTTAAATTTTAACTATAAAAATAGTCAAATTTAAATTTTCAAATGCTGTAACAGACAAACACATTTAGACCATGAAGCATAATTTAATATGAATTTATAGTCAAATTCTAACTATAAAAATAGGCTGCAGTTAAAGATATAAGTACATATTCATCCAATTACAAGAGGCATCAAGTAAACACCTATAAGACCTCACAACAGCTTCCAGTTCAAACACAACAGCTTTCAGCTCAAT